AAATTTCCTTCGGGTTGCGACCAATTCGGGTTGCGGCCAGAGTCACGGAACGAATTAAATTTGTAACCCGAGGTTCCACTGTACAAGAATTTTGAGGGCTGTCTCAGCAAATTTTGAAGACACTGGATTGGAGAGGGCTTTTGTAAACACAATGGAAATGTTCACTTCAAATATTATGAATTTCCACTCATATCTTTTATACTGCACTGTACTTTCCTTCCTTCTGCTTAACTGCAACAAAATCTAAGTACGTGCAATACTGGTTGCTCACATTTATCCAGGGCTGTTCTTACCTGTTCACTCCCTCTTTCTGTTGTCTTCCTTAGCATAAAATGTAATCCAGAAAACCACACAAGGGCAAGGATAAGGATTGTTTTGCTGAAGAAGCCTTCTCAAGCACCATAAGCAAAGAAAGTGCTCTCTACATAATAACAAGATTCACATCTTATGCACATGTTGTAAAATTTGCAACCAAAATTGTGGATAACTAAAAATAATATTTACCCTTGACTCTCCTTATCAAATTCAGGCCTGCCAGAAGTCTTCTTAGTAACACTCAGGTCAATTAGGCTTGACCAATTGTATGTTATCTTTCCAAGGTTAATTAATACATTTTTATTAAACTTATACTGCCAAGAACTCAACCACACTTACCTATCACTCCTATTACAGAATTGATTAGCTCTGGGTATACAAAACAATGTTTTGCACAAGTAATAATTCACAAGTCAGATTTAATCATATTGATCCACTAAATGTCAATCCTAGGATCAGATCCTGCTTTAATATTTTGGTTTCTACATAGACTTTAATTTACATTTCTCCATTTTAGATGACACTGGGAAACTGTTTTGAAAAGTCACAAAATGTTTGCAGAAACTGAGAAACATATTAGCTCATATCTGGTCTGAGACCATTGGATCTGAACATGGCCTAGATAGCAACTGCTCAGAGTTTGCTGCATATATGTATGCTCTATGTATGAAAAAAGCAAAAAAGCAAAAAAGCAAAAATGAGTATGAAAGTTATTCCAAGCTATTGGTTTCTGTGCATTTCTGTTAAGAATCAGACTGTGCTTTAAAAAGTGCTTAAATCAGTTCTGCAGGAACTCTGCTAAGGGATTCCTGAAAATGTTACAAACATTAGCATGTATATTAGTACAAATTTACATACTTGTCAAAACCCTTTATATTCTTCTAGGAAGCTACGTGATACTTGTAAATTACTACAATTGTAAGTTAATCTAGCCAAGCATCATGTAAGGTAAAGTCTTGTTCATTCAAGCTGAGTCCTGGTGACTTCATGGATACATTCATGTTTTAAAGCCCAGAGCATACTAGCTCAGTTCAGTTGATAAAATCATAGAAAGTTAAATGTCTGAAGAGGGCACTGCAAAAAAACAGCATCAGTGTATTAGTTGGGGAGAGTCCTCCTTTACTTCCAGCTTCAACATTTTGGTCCTGCAACACATATTGAAGCTGTATGCACAAGCTCTATCTGCAATCTGTAACTTTGCAGTACCAAAGGATTAATTATTTATTTCTAATGGTTTTCTAGCAAAAGGATTCAGATTATCCATACAAAACACGTACAGCTTGGATGCGAAACATTTCTGTCCAAAACAGCCAGATCAACACATGGAAGAAGTGAGTCAAGAAGGCGTTATTCAAGATCTGTTCTCTGTGCTCAGAATGATTTCCCCTTTGGATAACTAAGTAGAGCTACTGCATTTAAAATATAAAATAACTTTGCACATCTCAAGAACTGATGCTAAGAGATAGTACTTAGAAGTAAGCCATTACTGGCATTCAAAATGAGATAAGCCTTTAAACAATACTATTTCAGGATTTATACTGAAAACCACTAGGAAGCCCAGCTTTGCTCAGGTAAGAGTAAGCTTTAGTACCTATCAATTTAAAAAATCCACCTTTGATTTTTAAAAAAATAAGTTATACAGTCCTATGTCACCTTTAGTTAAGAATGAAGTTATAGTAAGCTACAAGTTAGCTATGATTAACTTAAGTATGATTAACGATTTTAAGAAAAGTGACCAAAGCAATAAATACACTCAACAAAATTCTCTGAGACTAGTTACTAGCATCCTTTCATCTTTTTGAATTGCTCTAGTTATGTGGACAAAGTAGATAACTAAGTCTGCAATCCATATCTTTCTTACAACTAGTGTTTATTGAACTCAGTGGGATTTTTCCCCCCAAGTAGATATGCAGGCAAGTGTTATAACTTTCATTAAACTATGATCTTCAGCAGGAACTTTTAACTACTTCATAAAAAGTAGAAATTAGGGATCCCACCTACATTTGCCTTGCCATACAAATTAAATCTGCCATACATTCACTCAAACTACCTTTGTATTTTTAATTTTATGTGGGATGGGCCCTAAATATTTTTACAACTGAAGGATCAATTATCTGACCCCTCCTAGACCAACACAATAGGAACCAGTGTTGTGTTATAATTTAATGAGCAACATCAGAAGAAATACAGTGAAGCATTATGAATACACTAAAGTATTTATCTCCCTAACCAAACATTACATTCTCTTATCTTGAGCAGCAGACTCAAAATTAATGCAACAAGGGTACAGAGAATCAACTAGAGAGTGGACATTTACATTACATTCTCATTTCTGAACGGTAGTCTTAAAGCTGCTCCAGGAATACAAGAAATTAAACATGGAGTACAGCCTTTCAAAAAACTACGGACCGCTCAAGGATTTTAGCACAATCCAAAAATGAAATGCAGCATTTACTGACAACACACATCAGTCCCCAACCCAAACCTCAGGGTAAAAAAAGACCCTAAAAAGGATTTAATGTTCATGATTCAGAGAAAACAAACACTCAGCAATCGTATGCACACTTTGCCTGGAATAAACCCCACCAGACAAGAAAGATGTACTTCTAGATAAGGGCACAGAGGAGGCATTTTGCTCTTTCTTACAGACACCCTGTTGTACTTAGTCTAAGCTACAAAAGGGTGACTTTCCTCCTCTTCTCGTTTCAATTCCTCTCCCTAAACGGCAAGCCCTGATCCACCCGAAGGATTCAAAGGAGACTCTGTCCAGGTTTGACAGCACGAGGGCGGGCTGCTAATTCTCCCAGATGGACCCAAACGCCCAGCGGTGGTCCCAAGCACGAGGGGCCCCCACCAAACTGGAGGCGGCAGGCAACAGGTCCCCCCAAATCCTTCCAGCTGAACCACCCCCGGACTTTTCCGCAAGGAGGAGGACGCCTAAGAAGCCGGCAAAGTGAGCTGGGGCAGGAGACCATCGCTCCCGTCCCGCGGATCCTGCCGCTTAAGGGAACCCGGCGAAAGTGCGCCCGCTCCGGTTACGGGGCAACCCGAGTCCCCCGGCAGGGCGGCAGCGAAACCTCGCCGGCTTACTCACACACACAGAGCTCCACCACGTAGGCGTAGTAGGACCAGGCCACGACCAAGGCGATGAAGGCCACGGGCACCCACGCCAGCACCCTCTGGCAGCACTTGAGGACGTGCGACGGCGCCATCTTCCCCGCCGCGGAGGCGCCGCTGCCGCCGGCAGGAGCCATCGGTGCCGCAGCCGCGCTCGCCGCCGCTTTCCCGCGCGCCGCCGCG